ATGACAAGCTAATTCACTACAACTGAAAATGGTAAGCTACACTGGGAATAGGGATAGAATGTCAACCCTATGTTTATTATTAAGGTCAACGGAGTTACATCACTATATTATCCATCAATATATATTAATGAACTTTTACAAAGTACCATTTAATATAATTACACAATACTAAAAATAGTAAAGTAACTGTAATAGTACAAAGTAAACTATTTTAAGTGCTGAAACTTAAGAAGTAGATGATAAATTGCAGAGTAACGCCAAATATTTAAAATTTATGAAAGTTAATATACACCGATATTTCTTAGACATATTTCAACTTTAAATATCCTGGAATGAGATCTGTTAATAATATAAGTCGTTATAAAAAGTTTTGGAAAATATTAAGAGGTCTTCATTTGCCTAAGGCCCGGCATGGCCAGGTGTTTAGGGCGCTCAACTCGCAATCTGGGGGTCGCGAGTTCGAATCCCCGTCCCCCCAAACATGCTCGCCCTTTCAGCCGTGGGGGCGTTATAATGTGACGGTCAATCCCACTATTCGTTGGTAAAAGAGTAGCCCAAGAACTGGCGGTGGGTGGTGATGACTAGCTGCCTTCCCTCTAGTCTTACACTGCTAAATTAGAGACGCCTAGCGCAGATAGCCCTCGTGTAGCTTTGCGCGAAATTCAAAAACAAACCAAACCACTCACTGTAACAAGAATGTTATTTAATATATGTATATGATAAAGTATAGCAAGAGTAATTAATAGAAACATATAAAAATACAAATGAACTCCCAGGAAGGGGAGTATAAATAAAAATAAATGGCAAAGAAAGAAAAAAGGAGGAATCCTGAATAGCCGCGGCACAAATTCTTTTAGGCAGGATTAGAGTAAACTAATCTACGATACCTTTTTTTTTACTTTTTATTAGCTATATTTTTGTGCGCAAGCAATACTCATCACGATCTCTACCAGCCTACCCTCAAATTGAAATTATTTTAGACAGGATTAAAATAAATTAATCTATGAGATCTTTGGCGTGGTGAAAATACATCAATCTAAAGGATTTGACCTCCCAGTCCAAAACTTTTAATTAGATCTCAAATCGGCCAAGAGATGACAGAGATACGAGCTAAAAGTTTGTAATTGGGAGAAGGAAAAAAAAACACTCAGAGCAGTTCTACAAGCTTGCGGTGAAAAATACTCATAAATGATATATAATAGGTTTAAAGTAATGATAGTTAATACTACTCCATATACCTAACTTTGCTGGCAAAAACAAAATATGAAAACATATAAGCTTTTATACAGAATATAGTCTGGGGCAGTGTCAAGTCTTTATTTTCTGTAACAGGAAGACAGCTATACTAGTATTAGTCAAGCCTTAGTTGGCTCAAAGTCAAAAGACTACTTTCACTAGCATGCTTATGAAAATGAGTCATAATAGTTTCTAACTGTAGATATAGACTGTGCATACACAATATACGATAGACATCAATATGCACACAAATATCATTGCTTCATGAGACAGTATAATGTCAAAATATATTAACCAATCAAAGATTAATAAAATTGAATCCAAATCGACCAACAGAAGAAATAAGTCAACCCTATCTGACTTGTATATAAATTACATATTATATCAAGTCACGTTAACTAGCCTCAGTCAATTGAAAAGCTTATTAAATACCACAAAACCCTTTAAAATAGTAATTACTTCAGTACTTAATGGAAACCATGCTCTATTAAACACCAAGAAGCATATTTGTAACAATAATGAGACTACTAAAATCAAAGTTCATATAAAAATTTAGTATACCTTCAAACGTCATAACAACAGTCCACTTTATAATATTACTTATCAATGAATGGAATGAATTAAACATAAATTATCACACCAGACCAGTGAATAAACATTAATTAAATTACGAGTGTAAGGCCAGATTGGTTAAATGCTAATTTGTTTAAAATTTCTTAAGCACAGCAACTATAAATTAATGAGTGAACTTAATGTTTGGAACAATAAATCCTGTGACACAGAAAGTATGTTATTTTCTACTATAGAAACCCCCCTATAAAAGAAAAATATTCAAATTAGTACTACAAAAGTATTAAGGAAAGGTATGTTTCCGACTAGAAACCATACATTAAGGGAAAGTATACTGGTTTAAACTAGAAACCCCATAGTAAGGAAAAAGTTTGTAGTTTATTAAATTAAGGAAAGTAGGCTTTTTTTTTCTACCAGAAATCCTGTATTAAAGAAAAATTTGCTGATTTCTTTATAAAAATATGATTTATAAATAGATAAAATTACTATGACTTGTTTACAATATTTTTCCCACCTCAGATCATTGTTATTTTACTATGGTGAATCAATGATCTGAGAAAACTACAATATGACCTATTTATCATGCTTTGAGAAATGATTATCATGGCCTTTTCTTAACCTAATGATATTTTTTATTACAATTTTAAAAATGATTTTTATATCTTGGCTCTAAACCAATAATTTACTATTAAGGTTTTTTACAGTATATTAAGAAAGACAAATTACCAGTTTTGGAAGAAAAAAAACCCAAATCATACAGTATTTTTATACACTGAATATAAAATAGAAAACATGAAAAATGCACAACTCCAGAGACAAGCTATCTGGATGATAGATAATGTATACAAATTTATTATATATGTGCTCACACTCTGCTTTCTATAAAGTACAGGTATTGGTTTTGAGCAAAAATATGGGTTCCAGCTTATTATATATAAAGTGTTAAAACCCAAATATCACACTGTATATGAGTTTTTAATCGAGGAAAGAATTATGGCAGTACAATTGGAATTTTTACACTGTGGCCTCCAAACTCCCCTTACAGTCACCCAATCCTGCACATAAAGTAACAATTTCACATTGGGCGTATCTTTAAGATGTACTCCATTTTTGACAAGATGTAGTGTATAAAATTACAAAGTACCTAAAATCTCATAAATAATAAACAAATTCATGTGACAGATAGTTTGCCTTCATGTTGTCAAATTAGTTTAGTAGAATATTAGTGACAGAAGCAACATCTGAAAATATTACCAGCCCAACAACAGGAAGATTTTGGATCAGGTTTCTAGAATTTTGTAATATAGGTTCATGTAGATGCACTTGTAAAAACTCTTTTCTATGGGTTTGAATTAAATACCTGACTCAAATTCAAATGACATATATTTTCTGGAACTTAAATACCTCTGGTTTTAAAATAGAAATATGTGCAAGTCTATGGGGCAATATTAAAATTATCTCTAATATGGGGGTCTCTAACCTATATGGAAATCTATAATTAGTAATGTTGTAATTAAAACTTTAAAATGTTATACAGAATCTTAGTTTCTCAAAACAAAAATTTCAGCTTGCTTTCATTAACCTTGTTTCTGTCTACATTGCACTGCAGAATTGCCTAGTTTTTTTTTACTTAAATACAACTTCACTTGACCCCTTCTTGTATTTAGGAGTTGCTAAAAGGCTGTTGCAGTGATATTTAATAAAAATATTCAAGATGTAATAGAAAAATAGAAGCATAGTAGAACATAGCAAAACAGATTTTACAGTGTATGTAATTTTCTCACAAATCATGCTAAACTATGGTACCATACTAAATACATATTATAAAAATTAATTAGATGCATCATCAGGATTTATTGCGAATATTCAAACGTGTCATATAAATGTGGTTTATACTTTTTTTTTGTTATTAGGAATTCTAACATAGGAATGCTACACCAAGAAAAGGTGTGTTGTTTTCTGTCACAGGAACCCTACTACAAAGGAAAGTGATACATATTTATGTAGATTTAATTTAATTACAAACACATTTTGTTCTTGTAACACCGTATAACCAAAGCTTCATGGGCTAGCTAGTTTCATTACACCTTTACATCCCTAAATATATAATGTCTTGTAGCTGTGCCAAAAACTTCAATAATGAACATATATACAGACATTCATGAAATTAGGAACCTCCTTTCACTTCACAGAAGAATTTGCAGATATCAAAACCTCTTTGCACAGTGTGAATATTATCAGTATTGTTGCCTGCATGTGAATATCATCAGTATTGTTGCCTGCATATGAATATCATCAGTATTGTTGCCTGCATATGAATATCATCAGTATTGTTGCCTGCTCTTGGAAACCCCACAATAAATAATAATAATAAAGTTAACTACTTACTAGCCTTTGGCAATTCAAACATTTATCATAGGTGCAGGTGCTGTAAGATATTAATTTTTTTTTCAATTGGTCTCTAAAATTCTCTTTTTAATTCCTACAAAGGCAAACCTTAGAATAAACTTCAAGATATACTGTATCAGATCCACTTAAAGTCAACAAATCTTAGTGGAAGAGCACAGCATAACCCTAGACATATTTAAGATAAACAGCATTTAACAAATTGCAAGTACATGCATACATTTTTAAGTACTTTAAAACAATCAATAGAGGCATTGGTATATATATCCTCTAGAAAAGTTTTAAATCACCATTTCAATATGGAAAATGAAAACATATCTACATTTCTTTTAAATTAAAAACTAAGCAAAAATATCAGAATGTATTCTCAAAAAGCATTTTTTATCAACAACTTTTGATTAAATAAAAACAAGAGGTACTCTACATCAGCAGTTCCCAAACCTTTTCCAGTCTCAGACCCCTTTTCAAAATCTTCATAATGTCATGGACAACAACCAAAATGTAACATTACAAATAGGGTTTCCTAACCATATAACAGCTATCAATCCATGAAAAACCCCAAGAACTAGCCCATGGAACCCTAGTTACCTACAGTTTATGAACCTAAACTGTGATTTATTTCAGACATCAACAAGGCTTAATTTTTCCATGTTTTTTAGCTGCTTTTATAAGTACGAAGGTTCTGTTGTACAAACAGATTAAAGTGAACATTGTTCATAAAATCTGCTTACTGCATCCCCAATTTTTTTCTTCTTCTTTATTTGAAAACAAAAAGATAACAAGTTTACCTCACTCCTGATCTCTCTCTTTTCCCTGCCATCTGTAGAATAGACTCTTGGATAAACAATTTCATGGTGATAGAATTCAAGTTTTGGATCTGTTGCAAATAAAAAGTATACAATTATAACTACATATATTATTATTTACAAAATACATGATATTAGTCTTATTATTAGGCTTCTATTTTATCACCTATTATAATTTTAAATGCAAAGATAATTCAGTGCTGTCCTTCCACAAAAAAAAAAGTTCACAAACAAATAATAATAAAACCAGTAAGCTTGGTATACAGATATTTTCTTAAAATTCATAAGAAATTGATCAACAACTTAACCTAGTACAATCTATTGCTTTGTATGACATAAGGAACCTACAAACTTTGTAAATAACAAAATAGTTTCAAACAGGTAACATTAACGTAGTATCAAACAATGTTTCATCTCTAACCAAGACATTTTCAGCATATGCAAGATACCAATCAGCTTGTGAGGTGTGTGTGTATGTAAGAATGGAAGCCTTACCCCTTTCTATTGTTCTTCTTCAATTGCTTACATCATAGTATTTTGCCAATGGATTGGAATTTAACTGAAGAAATAGGATATATTCAATTCTTTAGGTTATCTTCAAAGTATATTTTATGAAGCTATTCTACAAGTGTATAAATGCCTTATTTTGAATCTTTGTTCCACATAATTTATGAATTTCACTTTTGCCAAACGTAGATGTAATTATAATGAAGAATACAAGTAAATTTTAAGGTTTTACTCTGAAATAATTTTTGATAAGCAAATAGTTTACTCATGAACTTAAGTTATGAAAATTAACTAATGAAACTTTAGGAGGCATCAGACAAGATATTTTTTTTTTATATGACACCTGACAGCTAAATGTTTAAAAACATTTAAAAAAAGCCAAGGCAAAATCTACAACACAAAAAAAATTTCAGTATTAAGTAGGAATGAATAAAGATACATCCTATAAGCAACCTATATACTTTCTTCCCAAGTCTTCTCCAGAAACAGAGTCTAATAAAATGTAATATATGTATACAAGGTGGATCAAAAGTGTTTGTATAGTCATTTCATTAATTAAATTGGTTTCATTTGTGTTCCAAATATTTTTCTTTAGAACCATCCCTGAAACGTATAATACTAAGCGTAACAATCATATACTAACTTTTGCCCTTGGTACCCTGTATATTCTAGTGTTGTGTTACTCTTTATTAGATTTTGACAGAAACAGTTATTTACTCTCTTCTCCTGATATTAGAGATAGCTGTTTAGAACTCTTGCTCAGAGTAAAAAAACTTAACAGAATTTAAGACCAGGCACAATCTTGTGTTTTATAAGAAGCTGTTTGCAAAATCTAAAAAACCATCCTAAGAATATATACAATATTTCGAGATGTCCTTCACTGCAGATGTAAGTGGTTGTAGAACAAGATTATCCAAGCATTGACACAATTATCATTATAGAAAGTCTGAACACAACACTGTCAGTTATACACACAAGGAACACATGGTGACATTGTACAGCACCACTTTAAAAAAAAGTGATTTGTGCATTCATGGGCATCACACAAGTCATAGTGTGAAAAAGTGTATATACAGTGCTTACTTGTAGTATACTACAAACAACAAAGCTTTGAACAAAAAAAAAAATTCAGTACTGCTGAATAGAAATTTATGAAGTTTTTCCTTTCTTTTCTTTTTTTTTGGGGGGGGGGAGGGGAAGATCACACCCACCATCTGCCTACTCAAAAACTTTTCATGTTACAACAAAATCAACACCCTACATGTAATTACCACAAAACTGTTGCCAACATAAACAAACAATGGTATGCAGTAGAATATTTGTTAGGTTCATCACCTCCCAGGGATATTTTTGGATAGTAAGCTAGGTGCCAATAGATACTGTCTAGAGATATAATAAAATAAGCATTGAAACAAAGTGCACATAAAACTTGGGTGCCACTTTCCATGCATCCATCTGGGTGTTTGCTAATATATTTTATATTGAGCTATCTGACTATCTGTCCACTAATTGACTATCCATCGATTTTAATTTAACACAACAATGTTACTTCTCACCTATACATGCATTTATCTCCATGTATCTATTTTATATATATCAAAGTGCATGTCTATAAGCCATCTTTCAAAATACAATGGAATCTAACTATATGAATTTAATTATTTCATGACGAATGAGGAAATACCATCTGGAAGCAAACCAAAGTTATAAAAAAAACAACTAAGTGTTTATTTTGTTCACACACACAGGAAATGTTATTGTAATAACTGTTTAGTCTCTCCTGCGACATACAATCATTCAGATGTCACTATTACATAGTCTAAGCTCTCCATTCTCAAAAGTTGTAGTTAACAGTGCCATTCACCACACAGTATGATAAAGCTAGAGCTAAAATGCACCAGAAGCTCTTACGGATAAAGAAGCAATAATATATACACAGTTAATATTATTTATTCACATGCCCTGGTTTTGATAAAATTCTATAAACAAATCGCCATAGAATTGTTATTTTATCAATATTTTTAAATCACCAGTTTTAGATCCATCATAATCCTGCTTACAGCCAAACATGGTAGTTTTCTAACTTTATATAATAGCCAAACTGTTTCCCATCTGGACTCAATTCATAAATGTAAACATTGTAATTACTAAACCTTTTGTTAATATTTAGCTTGAAAACTGTCAAGTGTTTATTTATCTTTATATAGTTTTAGCTATAAAGGGTATTATTGTGAATGAAAAGTATTAGGCAGATGATATAAAGCTTAATATAAATATTATTACTCTTACTTAGTTCTAGTGCCAGTACTTAATAACATCGTCATTTGTACTGATATGACAAATTATGGATACTTAATTAAGCCTTAAGTTGTAGATTTCAAAAAAAAAATCAAAATATTTGTTTTATATGATTCTATATTTTGAAAAATTATATATTATGATTGAGTAAAAAAAAGTAAATATTGCTGAAATATTGGGTTGATTGAAATAATTTTACTTTTGATATTTGGTAACGTTTTATTGCTCTTTACAACATTGTAAATAATTGCCATTTTGTCAGTTACTGTAATAGGTAATATATTGGTTTTTTTACTTGGAACTAAAATATTTTGATAGTTACTTTGTAATGTTTTTAAAGTTTGTATTAGTAAGTAAAGCATTGATATTTATCAATTAGTGATAATAACTTTCTATTAGCACAAAGCCATACAGTGATTATCTATTGTAAGGAATCAAACCCTGGATTTTTAGTGTTGTAAGTCTGTAAACTTACTGCTGACTCAATGGGGAAGAATAATATTGAAAGATATGTCAAATGCTGAAAATTAAGCTGTTTGTATATTACTGTTAAAGTTGCTACTACTAGTATTATTACAAAGATAACACTTCATTTCATAGATTTTACTTTAGAAATTGTGTAGTAGCTGTTACAGGAACTGAGTGTGGAAACTAAATCACAAAAACAATAGATAATTCCCATCACTGACTTTGGGCGAAAAGAAAATCCACATTCTTATTCTGAGATTAAGATAAAATATAAAATATTTGGCTTTTATGTGTAAGTGCCCAACATTAAACTTTTGTATTTGAAACATTTACATTATAAAACAAATTTTAGATTTTTAACAAAATTTTTTAAATTTTTCATCAAATACTACTGACTCTGTCTCAAAGGCATGGTTATTTTACCAGTAAAAATACCCATATATAAAGTTTTATACTTTGGCTTTCACATTCAGTTTCATAAATGATTGAGGTAAATGTAAGGAATGTTAGGCTAAAGGTAGTATTTGTACTAGTATGTTGGTAAATAGCGGCTTGAACGCTAGTGTCCTATTCCAATTGGCCTGAGTAGCTCTGCTATTGGGAGAAAGGCCTTGTTGACATCGGATATAGCAGATATGTTGTGGTTGACATGTTACATTTTTCTTTACTTTCACTCAAGTTCATATAAATATTAATTAAGGTTGCTGTTTATTTACTTTATCTAATAAGATCTTATAATTGCTAACTAATGTAGTCTTCTGCTGTTGGTGCTGTGGTCGCTTAACAGCTTAGGGAAAAAAAAAAGCTAGCTTACTTGTTCCCCAGTTTAAATATGTAAAATAAATAGATAATATCAATAATAAAAAATCTTATGTTACCTAATTTGATGTTTATAAAAATTATAAATCTAATTTTGATTTGCTTTGACTTAAATAAAATTGATTGAAACTATGATAGAAATTAGAGTTCACCAATTTAATCTTGTTCACGAAAAAAAGACTAAGATAGTTAAAATTGCATAAGCGACGAAAATATCAAAATTAAATAACAGGTTGAACAATTGCCAAGTTTTTTATATTTTTATTTAAAGAACATCCTTCTTTTCGAGCTAGCGCTCTTCGTCAGATCGTACAGCTTACAAAATATGCGGCCTATTTAACTAATGAATGAGTATTTGCTGTAAAATCCTTATCAATGCAATAAGTGTCGCTACCAGTTTTCTTTATTGTAACGCCATGGAATTTAGATTAACAGTTTCTTGTCATCATCCGCATGCACCCTGTACAGCCGTATCAAGCATCATTATTTACGCTAATTGCTTAAGCTAATATCACGTGACGCTAAACGCTCTTTAATTAGGATGATTTTATCAAATTTAGCAAAGTTGTGCTGAAAAGTTGGCAATGAATAATCAGTAATAATTGTTCACCCGTATGATTATTTTAAAAACTTGAGCTAGAAACTACTAAACTAGTTTGCTTGGCCTAAGCAATATTTTTTGTATGCACGTCCTTTCACCTAAATGTTCTTGGTGTTCTAAATCATCCTTCTTTAATCCGAATGACAAAAAAACTAAAAACGGTCCACTTTTACTTTTAGGTGAAGGTCTAGTAAAAATGTTAGAACCATAGCTCACTTAACTTTTTTGCGTAGGCGTACGCAAAACTTTTGGTCAAATTTGAGCGATTTTTGTTGAATAACTTTGGACATGTGGCATATATTTACACCAAATGAGACTCCTAATTGTATGTTAAAAAGATCAATTTGAAAAAAAAATCATGAAAGTTATGTATGTTGT